TCCGCTTCGAATTTTCGCTGTGTCACTCATCGTACCCACAGATAGGAAAATGCGGTTGCCGATACCCTGTCGCGAACCGAGATTGACATTTTCAGAAAACTCTGCCATTCATGTCCAGGTCGAACCCAATTAATTTAGTTGGAGAAATCAACCAAATGCGTTGTTATCACATCACACACTCTCGGGCACAAATGGACGCAGTCAACACCAGCCCTGGCTGCGCCAGCGGTCCCTGCTACCTGAGACAGCAATGCAGGTTTCTGTACACAATAAATCCCTCACTATGGCGACTTCCGCCATTTATCAATAACCTGTGTGCTGTGTATGCCCGCACGTGGTGTCGGGATAAGGCGTTCGCGCAAGGCGTTTAAGGTCGCGGATGCGCGCATCACCCTTTCTTTATTCTGACCGGCTATCTTTCAGCCATTGACGTTTAAGCTCCACCATAAAGCCCCCTTGGGTAATGTGACTCACACGCGAAACAGTTCCCTCATCCTGAGCACACCTCCTACTTACGGACACCCTTCTGTTTTGTCTATACAACATTCTGCCTATAAACTGCCTTCTGTTTTGAATACATAACACTGTGATTCGGCCTGATGATTGTAGCGTTCCGAGTACACCCACTACATAAACCGCTACAAGACTATAGTTTAAGCCGGCTATCTGCTAATCAGCCACGGAGAGCGAGCACAGTAGTTATTAGGGAAAACTAGAACTGACAACGGTGAGCCAGATAATAGGATACAAAAGGCAGTACTCACTTCGAAGTCCTCTTCGGAGAGGTAGGTTTCAAGACGCGTTGTATCCAGATCCGGCGGTCGTGGTCGTTTTCTCAGCTCTTCGAGACTGAATTTCATATTGTCCAGTTTATCGATGAGGGTACTAATGCAATCCGCTTGGCCATATACCTTGCCGGTCTGTAGGAGGAAATAAAGACTTTAGGTGAAAAGAGTCTAAGCTACTAGTTGCTTCAAGTCAGCTGTTCAAACCCTCATTCCCAGCACGCATGCACATCACACATTGGCCTAATAGATCATTTGTGCATCTATCGCACAAAGACTAACGAACCAGTGCTAGACACACCAAGATAAAAGCACCACACTCACTTTAAATGTTCACACTGTCCGCAACATTCCCTCAGGCATGGGCTTAATAGGCCATATGCGCCTACATGGAAACATACAGTAGAATACCACCGGTCATCCCACAGCACCATATCTCTCCTCCTCAGAACCCCCATATCGCACAAGGTTAGCACACAGTCGGCATCTCTCACGAAAATGAAAAACGTTTTTCTCTGATCCTTTTCCGTGTGGCTCCCTGCTGCATGCGTGATCCGAGCCTGCGATCATTACGGTGCGCTAAAATCGGTGGCTTGGAAGGTCGTCAACTGACGAAATAACTGGGACCGCGCAGTCAGCCCACTGTGGGTTTATGTACAATGGACGACTGGCGGACTGAAATTCAGGCTGCGATTGCTACTTAATGTGGCCTCTATGGCAACTCCACTCTGCCGGATCCGAGCCAGGTGTGGCTCCAGTCGCGCCAGCCACCTGCGCCCTTCCCCGGCTCCTGTCCTCTTGATTCTGTAATGATATCGGACACATGTGGGTGAGGTGGCTTTGCACATAATTCTAAGCGGGGTACTTATTCCCTAGTCAGTACCCCAATACTAGTCCTAACGCAATCCTAAACCGCACGCAATCTTAAACCAAAACTTAAACTTAACCCTAAACCTAACCATATTTTTCCTAGAATTTGTCGCAGATACCTGTAATGCGGGTGGTTCCTATTCACGGGTCCTATTTAGGACGCCACATATCCCTTTATGACTGCCATTGCCGAGGCCTAATATAAACCGCAACTGGTTTTTGTTAGCATTTTGAGACCAGGTATGCATTAGCTGTCAAAATGTGGCCTAAAATGGATACTTATACCATCTTTGATGGCTCGAGTAAACCCTCTGATTGAGAAGTGATTACGCGCGCACACGCTGTCAAACTCTTAAAGACGAGTTCGCTTTCGTCTTCAATTGTGTTGCCCTAATCCAGTGGCTCGAAGGATGGTTTCCGTAGGGAGCGCTAATTCAAATCGTTGCATCTACTGTCTCCATCATTCGTTTTCAATTTATTACTATGGTACGCTTGTAGGTTGAATTACTGG